TTTTTTTTTTTTTTTTTTTTTTTTTACATTAAAAATTATTTCTGGTGCATTGCTTTAAAGAGCAAGTCCACGCCATAGCCAGGAATCCTCCATACTCTCTTTGACAAATGCAAAACTAGGGCCAAATGTTGTGCATAGGCTATTGCTTCTTTTGAAATTTGTGTTGATTATCAGACAGTCAGGCAAACAAAATGGTTTCATTCCTCTAAATGAGGCTTGTCATTATTGAGTGGAGATTTTTTAATGAAGCCTGGCCCTACTCACTAGTAGAGTTACATCTAGGTACAGAGCCAAAATCAAGGGCTTTATTGTGTGTGCATCTTTCTGGATCTTATGCAGCATTACGGTAATGGACCATGACTGGAAAGTTGAGCACATACTATTATTCTGCTTCATGACTTCACCTTTGGCAATAAAATACATACTCAGGAGAAGTTATCTTACAGCTTGAAGCTATCTGGAAGGAAGATGGGCCAGAAACAATGAGCACGTTCTTTTAAAAAAATGAAGACAGTCCAGAATCTTAACAATATGCATTTTATCATACAGCCATGTTAGCTGGCTCCTCTTTGAAGTTCTGTTAAACACATTAGTGCATTTCAGAGGTTTAATGCCAAGTCTTTTGTTTGTGGTAAATCAAAATACTCTGATGATTTGATACACGTCTGGTGTCTTATGCCATCTGTTCTGAGATCTTCTATGGCTTGTTTGACTTCTGGTGTGAAAATTAACTTTTTCTTACAATTGTTTATTTCATAAAGTGGATTCCCCTGCTGTGTCTACAGTGAACAGTAGTTTCTTATCCGTGACTTTGAATGGTTCTCCAGTGAACTCCAGCTCCTTCTCTCTCCTACACATACCATTTTCTGTTACCACTATAAGTCCAACAGGAAGAAGTTTTATAGCTCCTGGTAAGTATGCTCCAGCTACTCATTTCCATTTCTCACCCAGGGTGATATCAATGAAAACATCTTAAGTATTTGTCTTAAACTTAGTCAAAGATGGGGAGAGCAATATATCACTTAAAACTGTGGTGACAGCTATAACTGAATCCATTAGTGGAATTAAAGGTCACTTCAGGAAGGACAGTGAAAGTGAATGGCTCATAAACAATGCAGTGGAATGAGACTTCTGTTTATTCTGCACATTATAGGGTATGATCATAATAGTCACTAAAAGATAAAAACCTAAATCATGAGTGTTTCTAGGGATAGCATGTACATGTTTTTAACCAAATTTTTGTATAATTTATTTTGACATCTATTTACTCTCCAAATAATTTTTTTTATATTTAATTTGGGGAAAAACTCTTTGATTTTGCTATGATTTTTTTTATTTTGCTTTGTTCCACTGTGGTGTTTATCATAGAACAAACTCAAATGAGCCAGGAAGTGTTTGAAGTTAAGCATGGACTATGGAAGCAACTAAGCAACAACCTTTTTGTATGATATTAGTTGAAACAACACATACAGGCCAGAAAGTGTTTAAGTTCCATAGAAACTCTGTGCTGTGGCAGATCAAATGACAAGCTCTGCATCATCATAAAAAACTCTTGGGCTGATGTCATATAGAGGAGAAACGCTTGCTACCAGTACAAGCTACAGAATAAACAGCCGCGTGAAAACCTGCAGGGCAGAAGACAGTGGGTATGAACAGGTGTTCATTTCTAATTATGGAAATTTCTGGGAAACTAGAAATCTTTCATGGAGATGGGGGAAGTGCAGCCATCCCATCTCCCCTGCACCTTTCCCAGACTGGGGTGATTCCAGTCTGGGGAAAGCATGGGGAGTGGAGGCTGAGAGGGCAGTGGGGGAGTGGAGAAGTGGGGAAAGATTTCCCCCTCCCCTTTGCCTTCCCCAAATCAGGGTCACTCCAGTCTGGGGAAGCATGGAAAGCATTGCCCCACTGCTCTCTCCCTTCCTAGATGGGTAAGAGACTGGGAGGGCAGGGAGCAGTGAGGTAACACTCCCCCCCCATGCATTCCCTAAACTGGGGTGTCCCAGGTCTGGGGGACACATGGGCAGCAGTGAGCAGCTGCATCTCTCCTTTCCTCACCGCCTGCCACCCCTGTCTCTGGGAGAAGGGGGGGCAGTAGGACAACACTTCCTATGCTTTTTCCAGACTGATGTGTCCCCATCTCAGGAAGTTTTGTGAGAGAAGAGGGGCAGTGGCAGCTCAACTCCTCCATGATCGGGAGAAATTGAGCTGTGAGGAAATGCTCCCCAGTCTGGGGAAGGCACAGGGGAACCTGCTATTCAACAACTCCCAGTTACAGAGGAGTGGAGCAGAAATGTATAGGCATTCATTCTAGTGAGACAACCTCTCTCTCGGGTGGGCTCTTCCTGGTATCAACCTGAAAGTTATTTCTCCCAGGTGGGGAAACTTTCCTTTGGAAGAAACTGCATGAACACCTATGCACTCACAATTAGGGTTCTGCAAAATTTCACCAGCTGTTTCATTCCGACATTGTTTCAACCAATTTTGAGGTCAAAACAGCAAAATCAGAACAAAACAAAGGCTGTCAAAATAGCCTTGAAACGAAATGAGGCTGATTGAAGCATTTAGAAAATCGAAATGTTTCAACCATAGGCTGGGGATGGGAAGTCAGTCCAGCTGGCCTGACTTCCCATTCCCAGTTCAAGATCTGGCAGGGGGCGGGAGGCAGCCCAGCGGGGCTGCTTCCCAGTGCCCCACACTAGATTGCACCAGAGGCAGGAGGCAGTCCAGCAGGGCTGCTTCCCTGACCCCCGTGCTTCATCACACTGGGGGCAGGAGGCAGCCCAGTGGGGCTGCTTCCCTGACCCCCGTGCTTCATCGTGCCAGCATGATCAAGCATGGGGGTTGGGGAAGCAGCCCTGCTGGGCTGCCTCCCAGCCCAGGCATGATGAAGCATGGGGGTCAGGGAAACAGCCCCACTGGGCTGTCTCCCACCACAGCACAATCAAGCGCGGGGGGTTGGGAAAGCAGCCCTGCTGGGCTGCCTCCCACCCTCGTGCAATCAAGCACGGGGTTCAGGGAAGCAGCCCCACTGGGTTGCCTCCTGCCCTGGCACGATCAAGTGCAGGGGTCAGAGAAGCAGCCCCGCTGGGCAATCTAGTGCTGGGGATGGGAAGTCAGCCCAGCTGGTCTGATTTCCCATCCCCAGTAAAACTTGAAACAGTGGCAGCCTTTCTGTTTTGATGGAACAAAATGGAACAGCTGTTTCAACTCCAAATGAAATTCGAGAAGAAACACTGTTTCATCAAACTGTTCAAACTCAAGGTGAACAAAATGGTGCTGTTTCGCGCAGCCCTACTGGCAGTCTCTACCAACAAAGTGGTGATTTAAACAATGCCTGTACAGGGCCAGTGGTAATGTGTGAGTCTTGTAATTTTGAAGGGAAAATATCAGTTACTTCAGGTTCTCTAATAGGTACTCTTGCAAACAGTAGACTTCTTCAGTTAGCTGTATACTAAAATTCCCCTGTATGGGTCACAGACATCTGCATTATCTTCAATATTGTACATTCATTGTAAATAATGTGTCTCTTAATAGGGTGCCTTTGGCAATTAACTATTTAACCAGTAATAGATTTTGCTGTTCAGTCACTCCCCAGTTGAGCTTAGTTGTCCAGAAATTGTACCCCTCTGTGCAGGAAAGGCTTCTTTCCTGGCACTAGAACTGAAGTCCTTAAAATCAAGTGAGTACAGATATTGCTCTCATTATCAATATTTTCTACAGGTTCCATACCAAACTCTTTCCCTGTCACTGCTAAAGGGATTCAAGTGATTCCAGGTTTTCCAGCCCTTCCTCAGCAGATAATTAGCTTGCCTGTAAGAAACGGTGCCTCTGATATTATCATATGTCCAGGTAAGGGCAATAATCTTTTATCCACTTTTTAAAATCAGTTCTATCAAAGTCTTGTAGCTCCTAGTCATAATTGCTCTGCAGCTGTTGTGAAGTCATACTGGCTAGGAAATTCATTCATTTGCTTATTTTATTTCCAGGGTCTTCTTTCCCCACCGAAACATCACAGTTGGCATCACCCATTTTTCCAGTCAATTTATCTGGTAAATACAAGATGGCTTTTCTTTATGTACAGTATCTCTGAAATCATGAGGTTGCTTCTATGCACACAGAAGCTAGTTCTTTCCTGCATATTTTGTTATGCTGGATTTCCTTATAGCATTATGTTGGCATTTGGTACTATGTAACATAACTGGTAATCTCTTTTCTCAAGGCTTAGGTCAGTCCAGAACACTAGTTAGAATCTTAATTGAATGTTGATGCTACAAAGCCAGGTATGTTTCAGTAGCCAGATCATCTCCACTCATTTCAAAGTCCTATCTCCTGGACTCTAATCTGGCCAAATTCTTTATGGAGCCACACACAGGCCTGGTATCTTCACAATGTACTGACAAAGTTCCTACTAATTTAGCCAACTATGCCATTAGTCTTTTTGGTGACAAGGGTACAATGTTGGCTCATATTCAGCTTACTGTCCACTATAGCCCCTGTGTCCTTTCCTGCAGAGCTGCTGCTTAGTCAGTCAGGCCCCAGCCTGTATTGGTGCATGGGATTGTTCCGTCCTAAGTGCAGGACTTTGCACTTGTCCTTGTTGAACCTCATGAGATTTCTTTTGGTCCAATCCTCCAATTTGTCTAGATCTTCCTGAATCCTAGCCCTAACCTCCAGTGTATCTACTACTCCTCCCAGCTTAGTGGCATCTGCAAACTTGCTGAGGGTGCACTCCATCCCATCTTCCAGGTCACTGATGAAAATATTAAACAAAACTGGCACCAGAACCAACCCCTGGGGCACTCCACTTGATACCAGCTGCCAACTAGACATCGATCCATTGATTACTACCCTCTGAGTTTGACTATCCATCCAGTTTTCTATCCACCTTGTAGACTATTCATCTAACCCAGACTTCCTTAGCTTGCTTGCAGGAATGTTGTAGGATACCATATCAAAATCCTTACTAAACTCAAGGTATATCATAGTCACTGCTCTTCCCTTATCCACAGAGTAAGTCATCTCATTATAGAAGGCAATCAGGTTAGTCAGGCATAACTTGCCCTTGGTGAATCCAGGCTGACTGTTCCTTCTTCTCCTCCAAGTGCTTAGAATATTCTTTAATTAATCTATATTAATTGATATTTTGCTATATATCTGCTGCCAGGAAAGTGGAATTCAACCTGTGTATGCTCAACAGGCACTAAAACCAGAAATAAAACAACTTCTCTTCTGATTGGTCTTTTCTCTGAAGTCTGATTTAGAAGCCAAACAGATGCTGTAGAGGCTCCAAAGCTCTTCAGAGCAAAGCAAAGCACATGCAGATGACAAACAGTCCTTCCTGTGGTAGCAGTCTGTCTCCAAAGATTTTCTCCTCACTGTCAAACAGCTAGTAATCCTTGGAGCTCTTCTTTAAGTGGTTGTGTACCTGGTTCCCAGGTTCTGTTAGTGTATCTCTGTTGTCGAGTACAGTTACAGTAGGTGTTATTGCCCCCTAGTGGCTATTTAGCTTTCTAAATGCATCTGAGCTAACAAGTGAGAATTTTGAAGGTACAACAGAGGATGTACTTCTGGTTTCTGTAGTTGTAAGGGACACCACAAAAAATTGGACCCACATATTTTTATGGTACTTTACCCAACAGCACAAAGTGCACTAGCATTTCAGAAACCTAGAATGAGGCCTTACACTTATATTCCCCCAGCAAACATGCCAACAGATGAGTGGAGAAGGAAGCAACAAGAAAATCATTTCTTTGTCCTTCACTAATTTTCCTACTTTCTATTACCTCTTGGCTTATTTGACTTATTACCATTGAACTCTCATCTATATGCCTCATTAAAGTTTTCATTTTGGTTTCTGTACTCTCTTTTATTAACCATCTTCACTCTTCCCTACATGTCCCCCAGCTTCTCACATTCACTCCTGCCTCATTCTAGCATTTCCTGTAATTATTTAATTATTTTCTATATTCAGTACCTCCTCACTTGCTGATCTTTTGCCTTACTCTTTCAAAGTTCAGTCAGCTTCTCAGGCATCTGGTGCTAACAGCAAACTCTTTCTCTCTACAGAACTTAAGTTAATTAAATTTGGTGCTAATAACATTGGGTACAGTAAAGGGTTTCCTGATGCTGCTCCCATGGTCCCTTATCTCCTGGGAAACTGTAGATTGTAACAGGCTATTTTCGGAGGGTACTGGTACAGCTTTTACCCTGAGTAATCCAAAGGAGTATCTGATACAGGCCTGGTTTATTCCATTATCTAGATGATGCTGTAACAGGAGGCTTGGTGCTCTGTCTACTTTAAGGCAGGCAGGCTACAGCTCAGGCAGATGCAGCAGGAAGACAATTAGGGACCATGCCTGAGAAGGAACTTGCAGGTGTGGCCAGGGCTGATTGTAGAGTCATCTGACCCAGGGGAGGGCTGCATTTAGATCGGATATAAGCCCAGGCCCTGAGCTGAGCCAGCAGTAAGATCCTGGAGGCTTCTGAGGGAACGTCTCCTAAGCAGGATGCCTGTAGCTCCTCAGTGCCAGCACAAAGAGAACAGAACTTCCTGCAGCAATCTGGAGGTTTGGGAAGAGACTATGGGAAGGAGGAGGTCATCCTTGGGGGCCTAGTAATGGGGTCCAAGAGCCCAGATTGGGGCTGGGAGTGAGCCCAGAGAGGGACTGAGTAATCGATCAGAAGGGTCCACAAGCCTGGAGAGGAGCTTAGTGTGGGACCAGGGGCTCCAGGAGCCCAGAGAGAGACTGAGTAAGGGACCAGAGGGTCCAAGAGTCCAAAGGGGCTGAGTGTGTGACCTGAGGGTCCAATAGTGTGGAGTGGGGCTGAGAGCATAGAGAGAGAACATGAGAGAGTGATGACACCTGCAAGGCTTGGGGCATGGTGTAGGGATGGAATGGAGCCACACAATTAGCCCGTAAGCCAATGACCATAGACACTTGGTGGTCATTAGAATGAGGGCAGATTGGTGAAGCCCTGGGGCAGTCTCCCATATATAAAACAAATATTTCAAGGCATGGCAGGAAAATGAAGGGACAACTGCCCACAGAGACCAGAGTGGGTAGGGCTGAAGGATTCCAAGGGCTTCACAGGAGATGACCCTGTTACAGATGCCACTAGAGTTCTTGCTTTCCAGGATAAGGGCTGGTCTCTTTTTGAAGACATCTATATGGCCCAATGCAGTAGCATACAGTGATATCTGACCTACTCTGAATGAGCTAACTTAAGTACCAGAAGCAGTCCAGCCTTATTAGCATGACACTTCACCTGGGCTGACATACTCTGGTCTTCAGCACAGTGAATTAGTTTGGGGAGAGTACTGGATTAATGCATTTATACTGCTTCTGTTACCCAACCTACCTCTGGATAGCACTGCATGGTGGCCATAGGTCTGCTGGATGGACAAGCATAGTAAAGTCTGAGACCAGTTGCTGTAACATCAGGTTGTCTATACTGCAACAGCGGCATGGGAAGGACTAGGCCAAGGTCCTGGACCGTAGGCATGCCCCAGATGCAGAAGCTTTCCAGTTCCAGCTGTGGGTTCATCCTCAGAATCTGTCTCAAGCCTTCAGTCTCCAGCAGGCTTTGAGACAAGCCTGGTGCATCCTCACTGACAGATTTCCAGGCTCAGCTACACGAGGACTGGGTAGCACATGCTCAGCCTTGCCCACTGCAATATGACAGGCATACCTAACATGGCCAAAGACTGTGGCACAAAATCATGCCTTGTGGAGCCAAAAATGCTTTAACCATTCTGCCACTAAGCACCAGTTGTGCCACACACATAAAACATCATACATTACTCATAAGGGCTGATGGTGGGACTCCTCCAGTATCTGGTTCTGCAAATCTCTGTGGTAATTATGGGCACACATCAGACTTGGGATCAGAGATACAACTCCTTTTGGCTCCTGGAGGGGTATATATTAGGCCTGAATTTGGCCTAAGTGGATCTGTTCAAGACCTTTTGGTGGAATGTGCCCCCAAGAATGAAAACTCTTAAGAAATTGTCAAAACTCACAAGTTTTCTGAGGGTTAAGTGCTGCTCTTGTACAAATGTTCTAAAGAGGATGTCTCTTGCCATATTGTATCATTTTGGGTTGAGTGAAAGTTGGTGAGTGTAACAGCTGTTTTTTATTTTGGGCAAGCTGAAAATTTAAATGGAGATCCTTCTTAGAACCAGATGGCTGAAGGAACAGGTGCACTACCCAGAATACAGGCACATAAAAATGCTTGAGTAGAAAATGAACCAAGTAACCCTAGAAGTTTCCCTAAGAACCGATCAGCCAACACAGAAAAAGCAGGAAGCCAAAGAGACAACCACAAACAATACAGAGTGTTGCCCAAGACTAGCTGAAAGAAGCTGGTAGCCAAAGAAACTATTTCCAATCTAATCCCTACTATATTCATGGTTTCCTGGTCTTTTGTCTGCATGGAAGGCAAGACAGTGACATCTTACACACTAATAATTCAGAGAGGCATAGGCTTTCATAAGGAACAACTTACTTTGTCACAAACTATCAATGCATCTGCCCGGAGGAGGGGTTCTATGTTATGTTAACATTTTTTGCATGCGTTTATCACTGAAATAGACATATGTAAATGAGTACATTTGTCATGATCTACCAGGCTCTTCAATCATTTTGACTAGCCACTCTGATGAGAATTGTAAAGACTAATAAGTGAATATTCAAGTCAATTTTCTTAAATTGCTTTTTCTCCGCCAGGTGTAGAAATTTCCAAGGGATCACAAATTCCTTTTGTTCCTTCCAAACAAACTCAGAAGAGACCAAGTAAGTTTTGATCCTTTAAATTGCTTTGCAGCCTCTCTGAACAGCCAGAATATTAGCTTTTGCTCTAGATTCAGCTGATTGTTGTCTTGTGGAACATGTTTGGAGCTGTGTGAAATTTTCCAAGGAGAATTCTATCATTTCTTACATATTACAAACACAAGGCTTTCTGGAAACTGTCAGATGCCAAATGATTCATGCAATTAGAAAACATCCAAAAGCTATGCTGAGTTGCATTTCTTTTTATATACTTGATTATTCAACACACACATGCTTTTTTTTCATTCTAGAGCCAGTGGAAGCTTTCTGCATGTCACTGAAGGATTATTTCTGTGATGTGTGCAAGTTCATGCCCATGGAGCGTGAAGTAACTCTCGATCAGCTCTACACTGAAGGGGCTCTTTTGCAAGGTCAACATGAAACAAAGAGTGGAAAGAATATCATCAAGAGCATAGAGAAAGAGTCAGTTATATATGATTTGGAAGAGAAGGAAAAAACAGCTTTAGAAAGAAACCAAATATTTCAAGTCCCAGGAGGAAAAGAACTGGAAACCAAAATAATTGTGTTACTGGGAAAAGCAGGAATTGGCAAAAGTATTCTTGTTCAAAAGATCTGTCAAGATTGGTCCAATGGCAAGTTTTCTCAGTTTGAGTTTGTCTTTTGGTATGAATGCAGAAGACTGAGTTTGCCTGAGAAGCGATACAGCCTGAAGGATTTGCTACTTGAAGTCTTTGTCAGACCTCAAGAGGGAAAAGAGGAAGTCTTCAAGTACATACTGCAAAATCCCAGTAAAGTCCTCCTCATTTTTGATGGTTTTGAAGAACTGCAGGATCATGATGGCTTTACACATTTCCCAGACTGCCAATCTTACAAGGAGCAGTACAGCATGAGAGAGCTATTCGCCGGGCTCTTCCAAAAGAAGATACTCAGTGGTTGTACTTTATTACTAACAGCTAGACCCAAAGACAAGTTGAATCAGTACTTATCCAAAGTGGACAAGATAATTGAAATGGTAGGGTTCTCTCCACAACAGGTAGAATTATACATATCCAGATACTTCGAAGGATTACCCTACTGTAATGATGCGATGAAATTAATCAAAGATTGTCAGTATCTATTCAGTCATTGTTATAGCCCTGTCATGTGTAGATTCATTTGTTTTCTCTGTGAGATGGTGTTTGAAATGGGACACAAAGACTTGCCTTCAACCCTTTCTACTCTCTTACTAAAATTCTTTCAAGAAAAATTGATACCTGCACAAACAGATGGGACAACCATAAAAAATCAACAGAACATAGTCAAGCTTGCTCAGGTAGCCTGGAGTCTTGGTGAACAGCATCAAAATGCTCTGAAGAGTGATCTCTTTCCCTCAAAAGAAATTAAAGAGTTTGCTCTGAAACATGGCTTTGTACTACCATTTACATTCCCAAAGCAATCGGGAAACAAGGAAGAAGAATTTGGCAGTGTATTCTCAAATTTCATCATCCAAAATTTTCTGGGTACACTTCATCTGGTGTTTGCAGAAGAGATCAAGGATAAAAGCCTCACGAAGTATTTTTCATTCCCATCCAGGAAGAAAAAGTCTCATAATTGGTTAGATTTGATGCCTCAATTTTTGGCTGGAATATTGTTCCTGCAAGATGACCCATTCCTCTGTTCCCTTTCAAATAAAGATGTAAAGAAAATCATAACCAAAAAACAAAAAACACTCTTAAAATATATTAAAAGAGTACAGATAAGCAGTCTCTGTCCAGAAAGGTTACTTGAGCTTTTCCACTGTGTTTATGAAACACAAGACCGCTATCTTTTGCAGAATATAGCTTTAAGGCTTGAACCAGAGCTGTCTTTTCTGGGTACTCCACTCACCCCACCTGATGTCTATGTGCTGCATTCTATTTTAAAAAGGTCAAAAAAAGAATTTGCCCTGGATCTGAGGAACAGTGCCATTGATCTACAGGGGATGAAAGACCTGGTTGGCCTGAAGAACGTGACATCATTCAGGTTAGCCATTCCGTGTTGATAATACTGTGATGCTGTGGTGTACAAGAAATTTTAACACAAGAGGAGCCAGTCTAAATTAATTTACCTGTTTTTTGCCGCTTACAGAGCTTCCCTCACTGATACGATCAGGCTCTGGGAGTCATTAGAGCAAACACAGGAATATGATCTGCTGAAGATTACAATACAAAAATTTGCAATTGATCCATTTAAAGCTAAAACTATGAGGGACATCAGTGATCTTTCTGGCCTTGTGCACATGCAAGAGAAAATGATCCATTGGTAAGATCCATTCATAAATAAGGACCTATTTACATGTGAGTGCTTATGAATTATGAGTCCTAGAGAGAGAAGTCCCCCAGCTGTTCACAGGGCAGGTAGAACAATGCAATGAAAGTGTCCCTGTTGCCCCACCAATGTTTGCTATCGTGATGTGTAGCAGTCATCTTTGGGGAGCTAAAATCTTACTTCAGTCTTTGTACTGAAACTGCCAGCAAAGAAGCCAGCTAGAAATGCTGTTTTTTTCAATGCCTCCCCACTATAGTTTTTAATACACTGTCTTTTAATACCTTTGAGGTATGTACCCTACACTGAGTCTGCCCTATAGTGCTTATTCCGTAAGTGGCTGTAATCTTATAGATTTGGTCCTTTAATTCAGGAAGTAAAAGCTTTTTTTTTTTTTTAGTTCTATACATTCTGGGTTCATTGCTGCACACTTGAAATATGTATCTTGTTTTTATACCTTTTGTTAAACATGTATTTGCTTCAAAGATTAAAATTCCATGTGTAAGGTTTTTTTTCTGCTGTTACAATAGTTTCTAACATATGCCTTATTCTATTGTGATTTATTTAGCATGAAAGAGACATCTGGTTGCCAAATTCATGAAATTCCTGCTATCAAAAACCTTAAAAAAATAGAATTTGCGTAAGTAACATGTCTTTCCACTTGCTGACTTCTAAATTCAAGACTACTATAAGAATTTAATTCATTTTGCTGCAGGTTATTGACTATAAACATATTAAGTAAAATCCATGTATTTACATTCTGCTAATTTAGACAAGGATTAAACATTTATCACCAAAAAATGGAAATGCCAATTTCCAAACCCTCTATTGGTATAGAACAAAAAAGAGAAACCACTGGTAGTATCCTATTCAAATCAGTGGCTTTTTCATACACCAGGGTTTGTGAATTATGACAGGTGCTGGTTCTGTGATATTCCAATATAATCAAGGGTGCTAAATCGATTTATGCCAGCTAATTTATGTTGTCCTTTCAGCTGTAAAGTATACTGCAGGCATTTTCCCTCATTAATAGGGAAAATTTCCATTTCTCATCTCTGCAAAATTACAATCATATAAACAATCCAGTGTTAATCAAAAGTTCCTTCCCATTCACAGTGAACCAGCTGAGTGGCATCATTATTCAGCATTTTTCTATTTTGGATTGTATCTTGGCCATGATTCAACTACCAAAGAAGACACTATTGTACAAAAATGATAAAGTTGAAAGCTTTTCTTTTCCCCTACCATGTCATGTTGGTCATGACAGAACAAACACAGGGGGCACTGACAGATGTGCAAGCCCTCACTCTAATTCATGGAGTTTTACATAAAGTGCCATGAGTTAGAGCTTCCCTTGCCCCCTTGACCCAACAGACATTCCTCTGTTGGGTCAGGCCGGGGGGGGTGGGAGGGGGGCGCAGGTATCAGGCTCCACTTTGGAGCCAGTCAAGCCCAAGGAGCCTGCCTGTGGCCTCTTACCCCCTCCTCCAAGCTCCAGTGCTGTCTGCAGGATGGGAGTGGGGGGAAAGGGGAGGGGAGTGAGCTGCAGGCTGAGGGTTTTCTGGCCTGAGCTGGAGGGGAGGTGGGGGGCTGATACAGGGTGTCACTGTATATCTTCAGATTAAAACATGTTTGCTTCACCCTCTCTGAGGTAAGTTTGGTAAGAATGAATTAGAATGAATTAACTTACCCTTCAAATTGATATTGTTGTACTAGCTCCAGATGGCCTCCAAATGCAGCTGGTATTTGCATTCAGATGTTTACTTTGAGACTAAGTACAGACATTTGGGGAAGTTAAATCAGGTTCTAAATAGCCACCCAATTAAAACGTAGCTCATCTTGGTGTTGACCTTACACTTACAGACTCCATCTCAGTGACTGGCAACCAGCCTAAACCTGTAGCTGAGATGTTCCATGTGCACAAACTGGTCTAAAAAGTGGAGAACCCGGTTTAAGATAAACCTGGATCTACATAATATCAAACCTATTCAATCTAGGTCAAGCTGGTGCATGGAACTTCTGTACACTTTCCCTGGGGATGTTCTTTTCACCCCTCTCCTTCCTCCACCCCCCCACTGGACTACTTTTGCCCCCCTCAGCCCTTTGCTCCCCATCCTCCATCCAACCAGGCAACCCTCTCAACCCCCATCCCACAAGCTGTTCTGGGTGCAGCCACTTTTGTCAGCATTTGCTGGAGCCAACATGCCAGAGCTGAGCAAATAAATCCCAGTGGGGGGTGAGGCCAGAGGGATAAGGGTGTAGATTTGCTGGGAAGAAACCCTACTCCACCCACGGATCATGCCAGTTCCACTCATCCAAACCTTGGGTCACACCAGCCCTCCGCCCCTGGACTGACCCCCAACCCCTCCCCCCAACATCCCCATCCTGACTTAGCTGATATTGGGCAGCCATTTTGAAACAATTTAACCTCTTCCTAATGCCCCCAAATGTCTGTACTTAGCCTTATGGTCATATTATAGTACTATGTGAAGAATTTCAGTGAGGCTGAGGCAATGCAACAGAGAGCTCACAATTCTTTGCTCCTTGCTGCACATATTTGATTTATTCTTGGGCTGTTTATGTACTATAAAAAGATTGTAACTTTTTTCTCATAGGCTGGGTCCAGCATGTGGTCCTCGGGGATTCTTAAGACTTGTTGAAATTCTCGTGTCACTTCCATCTCTTCAGCAGCTAGAGTGAGTACTATTTTCCCCCAAATGTCCTTGTGTGGTGCTCAGTGAAACTTGATGGCGAGCAGCTTCCAACAAAGTAACAAACAAGATGTCAAGGCCTCTCAGTTCTGTCCCTGCCACTACCACACAGGACCTACTATATCTTTTGAGCAAGATCCATAAGCTATCTAAGCCCCAGTGTTACTCTTTGTGAAATATCTCACTGGGTGACATAAAGTGTGGTTTAGTACCAGGTGTACTCACAATTGAGCTCTTTGGAGACTCTAGCTCAGTACAGGGGCTTATTATGTCCTTTATTATATCTTACCAGTGGCTACTGAAGCTGAAGAAGAATGACAGCACATCGCAAAAACCAGCCCCTTCCCCATGGATTTTTACACATTGTCTTGTGAGTCAGGATTAAAATTAGTCCCATACCTAATACCAGTACTTAGTCCCTAAAAGCAAGGAAAAAAGGTAATACATGGTCTGCAGAATTAGGAGTAAATCTGGCCTTTAATCCAGACTCCGAAGACTATGTGTATGTGTCTTCAGGCATTAGCTTAGGTGCAGGGCCAACAAATGAACCACACTTATTTTGTGTTCACTCATACACACAAATTAGACAGCATAGATGGCTTGGGAATGGGCTTTAGTGGCTTGGTGTAGTCCTGGGTGTGTCCCAGCACTGTGCTCAGGTTCTTCCTGCTGGGGCATGCACACAGAGACACCCCAACCCACTTTCAAACCTCCTATACTGTCTAATATGTGGGCTTGGGCAAAGGCAGGAGTAGCATGGCTAATTTTTCTAAGCACTTCCAGGCTCACTCTTGGGTCATATTGATATAGGCTAAACTTCCTAGGCCAAAGAGGATGTATTAGGAAATATCAGTGATCTGCTTTAGCCCTCTAGACGAGTTTTAACATGGTTTTTCTTCTGTACACACAGGCAAGAATCTTGTTACAGCACAGCTGGGGCACAGCTATTTCATAACTGTTTTTAACAATGTTCATTTTATAGTGTAAGTGGGGCATAAAGTTCTTCCATTTACATATCAAAAGAAGTGGGTCAAGCAGTTCTGCTCAAAATCCTCTTAGGCTCTGAGTTGAGGAAACAGGGAGCAGCTTATTAGGGAAGCTGGAATGCGGATGGTTGCTCTTACCTGATTGAGCCCACTTGAAATAAACTGTTCAAATCTATGGGAAGATCTCTGAGATAAATGATGAACCAAAAGTAATACAAAGGGAAATCTAATTCACGCTCTGTGGTTTTTGGCAGCTTGGATGCTCTAAGTGAAAATGGAATAGGAGATGAAGGCGTAAAAAGTCTCTCTCAAGTATTTTCTCAGCTGACATCATTGGAAGTATTGAAGTAAGTTGCAAGATTAACAGTTCCAGAAACCAGTGGAGAGAAAGAAGTTAATCCTGTGGCACCAAGGATTGATTGTGCATTAAGGCTTTCTAATTCCCCTTCAGGTCAAGCAGTTAATATTTACAAAGCTGTCCTGTACAGACTGAATCAATTCTTTAAAAACTCCAAAGTACATATGAAATATCAAGAGAAATCATTTTAATATCTGATCCTGCCATTGTTTAGGTATGAAAAATCCCTGATGCTCAGTGTGTACTCGAGTAAGAATGGATGGCACAGTCTAGCCAAACTGGCAAGACAGTATTAGTTAATTTAGTTACCTTAAACAACTAATGTTTTTTGGTTTTTGTATTTCAGCATGAAATTCTTTAGCTGCTTTATCTGTTTTTAGAAAAACTGGTTACTGACCTAATTTTTGTGGAATTGCTCCAAATTTACCAGGGTAATCTGGCCATCTATAATATCAAAGTACACTTTAATTTTAAATTATCTTGATCTGGAAGATATTGCAGAGTAGAGGTGGTTCTATGTAGGCAGACATTTTCACATTGCATCACAGCCTCAGATTTGTCCTACAGAGTCACATGCAACATGCAACTTCACAATAAACTAGTTTAAACAGATTCCATTAACAAGAACATCTGATTTGTTACAGTTTATCACAGAATAAAATAACAGATTTGGGTGCGGAGAAACTAGCTACAGCTCTTCCTTCCTTATCTTCATTAAAGACACTTAGGTGAGTATATGTATTCTTTTGAACTGCTTTCTATAAAGTGCTGCTATACCTTAGTTGAGAAGTTAATTACTGTACAAGAAATAAATAATATCCACATACTGCAGTTAATCAGTTATGGGCTTGGTCCTGCAGCCCCTAGTCATCTGGCTGGTAAGAGCTGTGAGACTAAGTCCTTTATTGTGATATTTCAGACATTCCAGCAATTCCAGATCTTCTCTCTTTAAAAAATAGATATATAATCTAGTAGAGAGATACACACCACAGTAATGTGTACGGAGAACTCCTTTTGAACTCTAGACAGAATTCCACTTATCAGTAAATGAACCTATGGAACGCCTGTCCAGGGCCCTGATGTATTGCAGGGTTATACTTATATAGAATAAACGTTGCATGATTATTAAATTACTCCTAACTTGGAGGTATTTGAACACCTGGCATGCAATAGTGGTCCATCTACTTCTATATTCTTCCTGAAAACGGCCAAGATAATACCCTAGGACCAAGCAAGCTATCCTACAGTACTACTATGAAATAACTTGTTCATGGGAAGCTTCTTCCTAACCCACTTGTGCCCAGAATCCTGAATATTGATCCTCCTGATGTTTTTTAAATTCCCATATAACATAGCCAAGGACATTCATTTTCTCTATCAATATCTTATCCTAGTTTTTATTTGCATATGTAAACTGAACAAGGGGAATATATTGCATTAAATATGCAAGTAATTTGAAATTTAAACTATACTGGAGCTAACATTTAAACTTAGACTGAAAATAAGCAAGAATAATGCTTATTTCCACTTACTACTTCATCTCTTCCATTCTTTAATTTTGATCATGCTGTTTTTGTTTTCTCTAGTTTGTATAACAACAGCATTTGTGATGCCGGAGCAGAAAATATTGCAAAAGTACTTCCTGCAATGGCATCCTTAAGGGTGCTAGAGTGAGTATATCTTCAGAAAGAACAAAGGGAAATGGATAGTACACACCTGCTCGTGTAGACAGATATTTTATTGTTACCCTCTAACCCTGCAGCAGATATGAGCACCAACTCAGAGAAGACTGAGTGACTTGCCAAATACCACAGACAGTTGGGCTTAAAGCTGGGATTAATCAGAAGCTCTTTAGTCTCACTAGATCATACAAACTAACACCTTTAGGTATCTAACTAGTACTTGGGGGCGCTTATACACATGACAGGGATTTAGTCCTTCAGGTTGCATTTTATGCCCCCTAAATTGAAATGGTGAGTTTTTAACTGAAACCTCACCCTTTCAATTTCCATCGCTGTATATATGTGGTTGTCCTGGTTGCTGCAGGTGCCTGCTGAAGGCAGAAGCAGCAAAGGGCCTAATCCTTCTTTTTTTTTTTTTTGGCAGTCTGCCTACCTCTCCTGCAGCTGGGAGACCATTAATCTATGCCATTGATCTGTCAGCTCACCCCCCAGCTGTGGGAGAGGTGGGCAGGCTCTGCCAAAAAAAAGGGATCAGGTCCCTCACTGCTTCTACCTTCAGCAGACTCCTGTGGCTGGCAGGATGCCTGGGGCCACCTGGGACTGGGCTGGCTTGCTCCTGGGGCAGCATGGGAAGGCAGCAGGAGGGAAACTAGGTTTGCTGGCAGTGGGGATGGTACCTGGGGCACTGGAAGCCTGGGTGGGCTTGGGGAAGCATTGAATCGGGCACCTCTGAGCTGGGGCAGCACCCTGCCAGCTAGCAACCTGTCCAGGCTTCCAGTGCCCTCTGCACCATCCCCGCTGCCTTCTCTGGTCACCAGCAAACCCAGCCACACTCCTGCCACCTTCCTGTACTGCCCTAGGGGCAAGCCATCAGGATGTAGTTTACTTTGCAACAATGCAAACTCATTTAAAACCCACAAAACGCCAGTACGTGTAATGCCATTAAGCTACACAAAGGGTATTTTTGTCATATGTACATCATGACATTGTCACATGTACAAGCAGCCTGGGAGGCAGGTTGCAGCATTTCTAGCACTGTAGGTGGTAGCCCAGGTATTACTTGACAGACAGCTGCTAATTGGTCTGGCATCCCATAAACAACTGGAATGATCTGAGGTGACGGGCTTTATAGAATTCAGAAGCCAAACCTGGACCATCAGTAACCTGTAGACTTAAGGGATAAATCAGTAGATGGCTTTCAATCCTAACAATTTGTTGACCACACCTTCTTGGCTACCTTGATTCTTGAAAAGAATCAAGAATTGGTCCCATACCTAATACCAGTACTAAGTCCCTAAAAGCAAGAAAAAAAGGTAGTACATAACTAAGACAGAATGACTAGTGAAGCAGCCCCAGGCACCAACTTAGCAGGGTGCAAAAACATAGGCAACATGTGGAAGTGGCAGATTTCTGCACTGATAGTGGGGCAGCAGCAGGGGCAGAGGTGGCAACAGTGGCATGGAGTTGTGCCCCCACTGTCAACACTTGTGTGTTATCAATGTGCAAAAATAACAGCTGCCACCGCTTTTGGCTGGCCACATCACCACCACCAACAGCCAAGAGCCATTGCTTTCCAGTATACTGACCTGCCCTGTTACACCTCTGAAAAAGGGAAGCTACTTTTGGAGTAGGAATAGGACCTCCACAGGCAAACTTTGGAGGAGAAGTGCTTGGCAGAAAATAAAATGCAGCCTACACTGGGGGAAAATGAAGTAACTGCAAACTGAAAATCTTGGATGGTTTGAAAGAGTGATCAGTGAAGAGACTGTCTTAATGGCAGGCTGAATGGCCACCCGAGTACTCCCTGTGGGACCAGGTTTTATAAACATATGCCCTCTCTTTCTCAGTGATGGTTGATTACTCCAATGGATGGTGAACCTTAGTCTAACAACCAGCAAATATTTGTTTTCCTCAGTGTTCAGTATAACAAGATAACAGACACTGGTGCCCAGAGACTGAGTGGCAGCCTGAGAAAATGTCCCCACATGAAGAGCCTGGCGTAAGTCTTTAGCTTGTGCTTACATAGTAAAACATTAAACTAGGTTGGGTTTCCTGCTGTGGGCTGGACTGGTTGGGTTTGCAACAAGAACCAAAAAAAAAAAAACCCCAATACAAAAACAACTGACTTGACAAAAAAACCATCACTGAACTCAGCTCTCAGCTGACATTAACCCTTCTGCAATAAAGGCAAATTTGTGACCCTTTCCAAAGCATACTCTTCTACAGTGTGCCTGGCCTGCTCTGGGGGTATGTGTGAAGGATCTGGGAGGAAGGATCTGGAGAGATACGTGACCCCACTTTCTATGCATTTTAGAGGAATCCTGTTGTACAGGGCTCTTCCCAACCAATGCAAGGGTAACGGTAACATCCTTGTGTATAGCACAGGAGACTGGCATGGAATTAGAATAATGGCAAATTAACCAGAGTTAGTTGTACAGTTGCAATATAAGTTACCTCTCAAGTGCTTTGTCTTTGCCCTATTGTTACGAGCTTTCACTCTTGGCGTAAGCCACAGTGCTCTCCCCTCTATGAGATCACTAGAACAGGGAATAATTTGCTATTATGGGCTACAGCTATAAAATTTAATGGGGATTCATTAAATTCTTGCTAGTGTTGAATTTTGTCGAGGTCTATAGGAACTGTGTTAAAATCCTGTAGAAATACAGAAGGATTTTTTTCTTAAAAACTGTCTAATAGAATTGCACTTCAGGGATAGCACTGTCTAGTCACTTCTCTAAGATTCTTTAAAAAAAACCCCAAACATCTCAGTGAATGCTATTGGCTTCCTACTCTGGCATTAGGGTATGCTGTCCACTCTTTGCTGCCTTACAATCTGACTTTACTTCTGTGGCAGACCCTCAGCCAGTTCTCTAAACACACAGACCTTGTACCATGAACAAATAAACCAACAATAATAAAATGTTTAGTCCTTCTCTGGGCAATAGGATGAGCCTTTAACACCAGCCCAGTAGTGGAGCATGGCCTCTCATGATAGCAAGCTTATCTGGGTTCCAGTCCACCTCCTGGCCAGGAACTGCTCCTTCCCCCAGATCACAGATCTCTGCTCTGGGTTTTTAATTGACAGTGGGATTCCTCCATTGTTAGCTCCTACATAATTGGACTTCTACAAAAGGGATCCCTACTCCTTCTGAAAGTGCAGACAGCCTTTTTACAATGACCAATATTGGAGTTCAGCTCTAGAAAACCATCAGGATCAGTGTATTTGGTAGGAGCTCTAAGGCACAGAGAGCTATTTGCTTGTTTCCCCTCCTCAGTTTTCAATGAGCTCTGAGGCTGCTATAAGGGAGCTGGGTGTGAGGCTCCAGGAGATTGTGACACCCCAGTGTGAGGGTGTGAAAGGGCCATGAGCATCTGAAGTTGGGCTAGAAGCTCTTAGTTGGGCTGGTAGGGGCTGGGAGTCCTAAGCTGAGTAGGTGGGAGCTTGGGGCCCCAGTTGATAGAATAAGAGCTCAGTGTGAGGGCACAGAGATTACAAGCTCCAATGGAGAGTGCAAGTCGCAGTGCATGGGCACGGGCTTATAGGCTGGGTGTCAGGCCAAACAATAAGGCCAGGTGTTAGGCCATGAATGCCATTTGCCAGGCATGGGACATGGTATAGGGAAGGTTGGAGCCCTTGGCATCAGGGCAAGTACACGGACAGCCTTCCACCTGACTGACATCTCTTAATAATTATCATCAAGGTATGGTGGACGAGGAAGGTGGGTGGTTAGCCCAGAGACAAGTGAGTGGGCCAATGACTGACCAGCCCTAGGACACCTAGGAAAGAAATGTAACTATCTTAAAGGCAATTCCTGCATAAAAATAGTATAAGAAACTTATTGTATTAAAAAAAAATCTTCTAATCTTTGTTTACTTTCCCAATTTCTCTTATAGGATGTGGAATCCTACTATTCCCTATGGAGTTCTTGAGCACCTTCAGCAGCTGGATTCCAGAATTATTTTGTAGATTCAGCTGATCCTGTGAAGGTAACTAAACTCTTCTTATTTTCTTTTTCTTTTTAATGTGGAATCTAGACACACTGATTGGTTACTAAGAGGCAAGTATTGTGGAGTGTTACACACACTGAGGTGGATAGAGTTCTTCCTTTGGCTGACAGTCCCCAAGCTATTAAGGGCTCACCTCACAGGATCTCATGTGCTATGTAAGGCTCACAGGATCTTATGTGCCCTGGAGTCCAACAGGAGTCAGGCATTGCTTCAAGTTTGAGGTCTTTAGGCTCACTCATAGGGCATAGGTCCCTTGTCTAGCACCACCTCTGAGCAATGGAACCTGAGGCCTAACAACCTAGTCCTTGCAACTAACACCAGCCTCCCAGACTCCCCTGTACCTTGAACACCGCTCTCCTTGAACTGCAACTGCATGGCAGCTCCTTGGCACTAAAAAGAGTTTAGTTACCTTAACAGGATCTGCTGAATCTACAAAATGATTCTAGAATCTGTAGTAGTAAGGGTTAACTCCCTTACTAAAAAGTGACGTCATCCACAGAAAGTGGTTGGTTGACCATTTTAGGTTCAGAGGTTAGTTGTAAAGGCTTAATGAGAACAAAGAGTCTCCCTGAATCTTCCTAAGATCCAGAATAACACAGAATCTAGCTGTGGAAGGTGCTCAAGAATGCCATAGGGAATAGTAGAATTCCACATCTTATAAGAGACATTGGGAAAGTAAACAAAGATTAGAAGATTTTTTTATAAAGACAAGTTTTCTGCACTGTTTTTATGTAGGACTTGCTGTAGCAGGGCACTAGGGTGCCTGCTACTGGCAGTAGTA